CTTCTCATGGAGGAAACGGTGGTCATAGGATTTCAGTGGCTTGTTGTCCAATAGGATTTCTCCATCCTGCGGATCGTAGAATCGCTCCAGCAGACTGACGCAGGTGCTTTTTCCCTCTCCTGATGGACCCACCAGGGCAGTCATCTGACCCGGCTTCAGCTCCAAAGAAAAATCCTGAACCAAGAACACCGCAGTGGTTGTATGAATAAAATATCTATAATGACCTTTTCGTTATCACTGTCTGTTTTCAAAGAGTTTCTTCCTTCATTTATTTTTACTTATTTAATGAGCTGTCTGATTTTAAACCAGAGGATCTTCCCCCGTCTGTCCGGCATTGAGAAACCTCACCTGCAGCACTGTTTTGTTGGGGTTGGCAGGATAAGCAAAGCTCAGACGGTGGAAGCTGACGTGTCCTGTCAGTCGATCGGGTTTGAGTTCTCCATCTGTGCTGACCTGAGGTTTTCGGTCCAGATAATCAAACACTTTCCCTGCAGCCCCCACAGAGTTCAGCATGTCACCGATGATGTAGGCGAGTGTCTGGAAGAATGAAGACACAGGACAAGGCTGGGAAAAGGGTCATTTCAGCTGTTTTCACACATGAACTCCTCACAACGTAATTCTCTAAACTTTGTGTTTCACATGTGAAGAAGCAGAAGTAGTTTCAAACAAAAAACAGTATCCACAGTGCATGATGGGATACCCTGATGCTGTCTCCAAGGTTTGACTGGTAGAGGATGAAGGAGAGCAGGTTGCCAGTGGTCATCTGTCCGCTCTGGATGAACAACCTGCCGTAGTACAACATTAAGACCTGCATGACCAGCCCTGACAACTGTGGACACACACAGCAACACACACACACACACACAAATATTGTTAAATAAGGTCTTCTGGAATGATGTGCTCAACATTCAAAACTCACTCAAACGTCTCACCCTCCGCACGAGCAGGTAAACTGCACGGACGATGTCCCTCCGGTTCTTGAGAGCTTGAATGTTTATCAAACAGTCACCATAGCGATGGGCCTCATGTCTTTCTGCATTAAAGCTCCTGACCACACGAATACTGGAAACCACCTCGCTCGCTGCTTCGTTCGCCGACGCCATCGAGTCCTGCATCGCCAGGGACAACCTCTGAGGAGGGAGGAAAACATAGTATTATTTGATAATGATTAAAATAGTGTCTCACACACAAGGAGCTCTTCAGTTCTCAGTGTTTACTCATCATTTGTCCTCAAGCTGCCCTCACCTGGTGGTGTGTGTCGTAGATGTTCTGAATGAGGCCGGTGACGGGCGTCTCCATCAGTACGAGGAACGTGAGCTTCCATGACAGATTCATCATCAGGGAGATCATGCCCAGGGTCTTGATGAGAGTCCTCAGCAGCACGTTGACATTCAAACACACGGTTCTTCCCATCAGTGTGGTGTCTTTTGACAACCTATGTGTGATTTCACCTACACAGAAAAGGAACAGAAATAAACTTCTGTCTCATGTTTTCAGGATTACACAAACACTCTTCAACCGACTTCCATGAAGGAAGTTTCCAGAGTTAACTGGATAAATGGGAGGATCCAGGATTTGTTTTCACTTTCTTTAACATTGTGAGATATGGTGGTTTTTGATCATTATCACTAGTTTCCCAGGGAATAATTCATGGTTCTTGACGAAAGACAGAACTGATATCTGAGTGTGTTTGATGTGATGCAGCTTGACTGAATGTAAGAACTGTGATATGAGCTCTACTGAGTGTCATTAGTTGCCATTCTTGGTTTGCCCTCAAATGCCCTTTCTTTATATACTTTATACTTCTGTCCCTCCTGTCCCCCTGGGATCAATAAAGTATTTCTGATCTGATGTGCATTTTTTTCTTCGAGCACAAACTGCAAGTCACAGGAGCCGTACCTGACTTTATGGTCTCGAAGAATCCAATTTCCTGTTTGGTCAAAGCCCCAAACAGTTTGACTTTCACTCTGCAGGTGAAGGCGCTGATGGCACAAAGCAAAAGACCCCCTCTGCAGCCTGCACTCACCGAGCTGGTGAATAAAAGACAGAGTCAGTGAGACGTGAGCCACAGACACAAGCTGGTGTCTGGAAGGAAATCGCTGACTCATACCTTCCCAAAGAGTACAGGCCCATGAAGAGGAGAGCAGATCTGAATTCACTCAGCTGGTACTGACCACCCAAGATGTCGATGACTCTCCCAGTGTAGAATGGAATGAACATCTCACCTGAGAGGACAGGGACGAATAATCAGACACACGCACAGACACATGGACAACATTATTTTATCATGAAGGCAGGGCCGCGCTGAGAACGACTGATTAAATGTTATGATCGGCTTTGTACAGGGAGCTGAAGCAACACGATACTCGGAAACCAAAACTAGAAATGTGTGTTTGGTGTGCACAGCAAACAGATGTGGGCCAGTTCAGGCAATGTTGCTGCACTTCTGGTTTTCTTGTGGCCCGAACAAAATGGATGTGAGCCTAAAGTTGCCCACTGGCAAAATATTCTATATGGCCAAAATACCCCAAAACAAATGTGATAATTGTTGGCAAACATGCTGCTCTATAGGAAAGGTGTAATCTGCATGTGAACCTCAAGTTGCCCATGTGGTAAAATGCAGTATTGCTATGGCTCCTTTGTGGCCCAGATCTGGAAAACAGGACCGAACCACCAAGTACCTAACTATTATTTATATACAAAGTCTGCACTTTGTTTATGATGTTGATTGTGAAAGATGTTTAAAGAGTGTTTCTTGGGTTGGATTCATGAGGGTCTCATTTACACCTGTCTGATGGTTTGTTTGTTGAATTACGCAAAATCTACTGAATGGATTTCTATGAAAGCTGGAGGAAGGATGGGACACGGGCCGAGAAAGAACCCATTCAATTTTGTCCGGATGTGGACAAAGTGGCAAATCCATTGTGAGATTAAGATTTGGTGCCGGTTGAACTAATTTTAGGGGATTTTTGGGCCTTTGTTGAATTATGAGCTCTAATAGATCTACAGTTCAAAATGGGTTGTTAACAATAGTTTGTTGTTCATCATAGTTGATAACAATCTGGAAACGTTTCTTATTGATAAATCAATATCGATTGAATCAATTCTTCAGCCTATTGATTTTATTAGGATCCCCATCAGCATCAACTCTTCCTGGGGTCCACACGAAACATAAAAAACATGACGTTAGACTCTTAAAGGTCCAGTGTGTAAGATTGAGTTGAAAGGGAACTATCGGCAGAAATTTAATGTAGAATAATCCTCATGATGTTTTCACTAGTAAGTTTCATCTAAATTGTATGAATTGTATTTTTTTTACCGCAGAAAAAGCCCTTTATATTTAAATACTTTAAATTAAAATACTTTATATTTACATCGAGGGGACCCTCTCTACAGAGGCACCATATTTTTTACATTAGTCCAGACTGGACAAACTAAACACCTTTTGAGTTTTTATGGTAACTGAAGATGCCACAGGTTGTTTCTCGTGTTTGGAAGGAGAGGGTGAGGTGACGGGTGTTCAGCTGCAACATGACACTTCAACACTAGATGTCACTCAACTCTACACACTGAGCCTTTAAATGCAAACAATTATATTAAAATCAGAATATCTAACTCAGGTTGTTTCTGGGAACATATTTTCCTACAATATTCATATGCACTATTCTTATCCTCTACTATCCTGTTTGCCAGAACCTTCCCCCTCTGTGTACTTACAGACAACAGCCAGCGACAGGAACACAGACCCCCCCAGCAGCAGGAGGTAGTCGGGTCTGTACAGCCTCAGCACCCTCATGAACAGCACTCGAGCCTTCTGCCTCGTCTCTTTACCGGCGGCTGCCTGGTCGGTGTCCGGGAAGGTGATCTCCCAGAACATCGCAGCAGCCAGGGACGCGGCGGCGCACAGCAGCCAGCAGCAGCGCGCATCCGCCAGTCTCCCACACTGGCCCTCCTCATGGTACAGCGCCTCGGAGCCGGTCTCAAACACCGCAGGGAGCAGACAGTGCGCCGCTATAAAACGCACCAGCAACGGCCTGAGGTCCCCGAGGGCGAGCGAGGACAAGACCGTCAGAGCCGAGCCCCGGACAGCAGCACATACCCAGAGACGCACAAGATGCGCAGAGACGCTGTGAGTCACCACAAGTCCTGACGCGTAAAGTAAAGACAGGTCGACGCACACGGCAGCAAGCAAAGCAGCCACTTTGTGGATGAGAGTTAATGTTTTTGCTGCCATTTGTCCAGCTTCAGTTGTCCTCCTCTGACCTGCTCTGCTGCGTAAACGAGGTTTTTGTTTCCATCCACTTTCAGTTTCACTTTCTGGCAGGAGCAGGGGATTTCCCAGAAACCCAAACTGCAGAGTGCAAAACAGAAACCTTGAGTAGGAGAGCTCCTCACTAAAATGAACATTTACACATCAGCTGTTGAAAAGTGATGGACTGCACATAGAATTGTTACACATCCATCAGGTAGGACACCAGGGCCCACATATGGCGAGGAATGGTTTTTGGCCTGTTTGCCAGAACTGGGTCACAATAAGCCATAGCAATACCACATGTCAACCAAAGGTGCCAAAGGTAGCCTGAATTAGTTTTGTTATTTGAGTCATATTCTCCACGTACCACTTTTGGTCCAGATCACACCTCGCAGAGAGCAGCGCATGTTTGCCAAAACTGGTCCACATTTGTTTTGGGATATTTGCTATTTTACAAGCGGGCAACTTTGGGCTCACAACCATTTGTGCCGACCACATGAAGCCCAGAAGTGCTGCATCATTGCCTGAAGTGGCAAACATCCGACGCTGTCTCCTTTTCTTCTTCTTCTTCCACCTAACTGATCAAATCCTGGATGAAAACTGCAGTTAAAACCTCCACTGCTGTCTCTGACAGTGTTCTCATGTAGAACACATTAAACAGCTCACAAAGAAATGAAAAAGTTAATCTTATAACCCAGATTGTTTATTATTAAATACATGTGTGGGACAGATTGAGATGACAGTATGATTTAAATCACATGTAAAGTTTATTTAAGGCTTTGACTCATGTCCAGTCTCATTCCTGATTCAGTGGGTGAACATTTAAATCATTTCTTGTTTACTGTCAGATCTAAAGCTTTGAGCAAAGACACACATCACTGAATATACAGCATTTCAGAAATGTTCAAGAACATTGTGTATTTCCCAAAAACTTTCAGCTGGGTCCAGTGACCAGATATTTATTTCATTTTGCATTTTGATACAAGCAGGGTGAGTAAAATGAGTCAATGTTGTCAGGGGCAAAACAAATACCTAAATCTATAATTCAATATGTTGATCACTGATTGAAGGTGGGTAAGTCATTTCCTAGGATGACTTTCTCCTCCGTGCCGTGTTCGTCGATGGTGACGATGAAGGCCACGCCGCCGCTGGAGCCGTCACGGTTCATTGCCAAAGAGAGAGCTATGAGGGAAAGAGAGAGAGGGAAAAGGTGGGAGACCATAGACTTTATATAAAGATGGACAACGTGTCTCAACAAAATATCAAATATACTAGTCAGTCTCAGCTGACAACCTATACTGCAACCATCCACCAGGGGCTTCACTTTCGGGGTGATCTTGAGGTGAAACAGGTGAGGACACTGAACTGAAATAGTTTTTATGAGATAAAATATTTAATATAAGATGAAATAAGAGAAGAATTGATCCTCTCACTAAAACTTACTGTTGGCGACAAACTGCTGGCACTCCTCCCTGCTCATTCCCCGGCGAAACTCCGCATCAACAAACCCGTAAACGTAAAAGCTGCCAGAGCCACCAATTGCAAATGGCTGCCTTGTCAGGAGACCGTTGAGGGTTGCAAACACCTGGGAGAGGTCAAAGGTCACAGGAACAGAGGGGAACACTTATGTTACATTTGTCCGAGTGATATTTCTCGTCCTCTGCAGTCAGCTACTCGTGCTTTACTCACCTGTCCACCTTCTCTTCTGTCCCAGCCGGCCACGATCAGATGCGCTGACAGCTCCTCCTTGTACTTGTACGAGACGTTCCGGACCAGAGTGGCAGCTGAGCGAACCTGGGGGTCGTCACCTATCTCAATACTGACAGGACAGAAGGCACAGTGGTTGACTGTCTCCGCTGACCAACACAGTTACAGTCTACATTTTTTTTCCCAGATTCACGAGGTCACTTTGACCTTTGACCTCAGAAATCGAATCATTTAATGTTTGACTCTAAATAAACTCGTGTTTGTACCAGATCCTTCCGATACCAATTTCACAAGAATGCCACAGATGGGCAGATAACATGATGCCTCCGGCACCATAACAATATTATTTTCCAGATTCTCCCATAAAGAGAGAAAGACAAACAAAAAAAGACACAGCTGGACAACACTTTAGTACCTGTGGACATCCAGCTGGTAGTTGACGATCTCTGCAATGGTCTGAGCGTCTGCTGCAGATCCTGACAGAGCACAGTAGATCTTGTCATGGAGGGGAGACAGTTTGTTCATCACCCTGTTCACCACTGATTCTCTGGACGGAGGGATGAATACAGAGGGAAAAGAAGAGGATGTGTAGTGGGTGAGGAAAAGTGGAGAGAGAGAGAAGGATTTCAGATATGGTCGACGATAATCCCAAATATGATATCAAGATAAAAATGATATTGTGGGCATGGAGGTGGTTAAGAGGTGATGAGCACAGCTAAGAGTAGTTGGTCCAATCAACTCTCCCTGGATTCAAACTGGCAGCAACTGAGGTGCCAGTTTGAATCCAGGGAGAGAGAGAAACACGAGCAGAGACTGAAGAGACTGAGCTGCTCTGAGCTGCAAAGATCACTTTCAGTTGAGTTGTTTGGATTCATTTGTTTTGCTAAAAGAAATAAAGATGCTGAAGAGCAACAGCACTGTCTCTGGCTGTGTGGGAATCCCCAGTCAATGCCTGAGATATGTATACATGTATGTCTGTCAAGCCCTTTGATCAGCTTTTGTTGTTTTGAACGTTGACTTGACTATTTCAAATAAATGTCCGGAAACAGAGACGTTCCAAATTCTGAGAATCCTGCAAGATCCAAGATGGTTTGTGTTAAAATCATAAATGTAGATTTTTATAAATACTGTTTTTATCAATGTGACATTAAAATCAGTATTAATGTATTTCAGTCAAAGAGCAGTCATATAATTTAGTTCAGAGCTCAAACAACACATTTTAGAGCAGAATCTCTTTTCAGACGGATCTTTGAAGGTGTGGGTTTAAACTCAGGATCATGACGAACATTCACAGAACAGCAAAACATTTAACATCAGTAGATCAATTCTAGGTTTGTTTGCACAGTGCATGAACCATATATCCACATATGTTGAACCTTTATTGATGAAAGTTATGGTGCAACAATCACTGATATTGTTTTATTGTCCAGCCCTGATTTAAGGTTATTATTCTTTAAATTATATACTGGACACACTGTGCACGCAAACACATGCACACGCACACAACTCACCCCGCAGACACGCGGGAGTCAGACCCCAGCACGACTCCTCCATTGAACTCTATGGCGATGATGGTTGTCTGCAAACAGGAGGAGAAATGTTCAGAACTGCTGCGTAATTACGCATCTGGCAGGAGTAACAAGACATTACACCTCGTATACTTACTCCGGTTTTCACCTCCTCAGACAACCACTCAGGCCCCGTGTCTCCCAACATGTCGACGCAGAGATCCGGTACCGACGACACGGACTGTACCTGCCTGGAAGCCGAGGAGAGAGGAGAGAAAAGGCGGCGCCAGACGAAAACCGAAACCTTCAGTCGAGGAGTTTAACGACGTTCCCTTGTTGGAAAATTCTGTTTTTCACCAGTTCACTCGTTTGTTCTCACCAAATAACTTCTGCGTCACACGGACTCCATGTTTTCCTGAGTTAAACCGAAATTGAAAGTTAAATTGTCCATCCGGCGTGATTCAAGCGAACGTTAAATCCTTTAAGAGAAGATACAACTTTATCAAAGTTTTTTAAAGATGCACTTTCAAAGGTAGTAGATGTAGACACGAGATTTAAAAAAAGGAGTCAAAAGAAAAAAATAAAGTAAAATATATAATATAATATATATATTTAAAAATTCAAAGTATACTAAACAGCAATATATTGTATATCGTAGAATAAAAAAACGGTGTGTATAATTATACAGGTATAGTGTATTATAAGTGTACACAGTACTGGAGTGTGTTCGATGTGTGTGTGTGTGTKWTMWYGACTGTAACAACAACAGAGACTCCTCCCTCTTTTATGACCAAGTCATCAGGGAAGATCTCTGTGATCACGGTCAGTGATGTGACGTTACAACATGTTGGGGAACAAATGTTCTCTGTTGAACAGATGATTAAATAAAACAGTTTAGAGACGATTGACCACTTCAGTCCTGCAAAACTGAAGCTTTGGAGGCATTTATGTAACACAATGATGCATTGAAACGTTTTTCTTCCAACAAGTGCAAGTCACGTGTTTGTGACAAGCAACGTCTCCACCTTTCATTCTCTGCTGAGGAATCTTATGGTTTGATTAATAAAAAAACATGATCATGGAGGTTTAAAGGAGACGACACTGAGTGACACAAGGAACGTTGAACTTTAAAGTTTGGTATAACTCATTTATTCCACATCAGAGCCACAAAACACGAAATAATTGTGTTACAACATAGTGAGAGGGAACACAAATTTGGGGCAAGTGCAACAAAAAAACATCAGAAATCGACGAAGAGATGTTGAAGCACAGAACCAAAAAAAGAAAGAAAGTTTAGGAAAATATTTATTTTAAATTTACATATTTCCTAGAAGACAAAACATAAAAATCAAAAAGAAACCTGATTTATTTGAATGGAAACAATTTGATGTGATGGTGGAATTTTGAAGTTGGGCCATGAATCTGTATAAACTATAACAACAACAGGTGACACTGCTGTWAACTACACACTGTTCAGTTTGTCTCGATGACTTCAGGTGTGTGATTTGAATATCTCAGTCCAACATAACGATTTAGAATCAAACCGTGGAGTTGAATCCTAATCAATACTCGCCATTGTACAAAACAACATGAGAATATCAGCAGGACTTTGAAGGTGGTCACTCGTGGTGGAACTTGGGCAGCTTGTCACCAGGTACGACCACATGCTCCACCCCCTTTTCTGTGACCACCACCAGGTTAGCCACGCCGCCGCTGACGTTGTCTCGGCCCATGGCCAAAGCAAGAGCTGAGGGGTCGGGAGGAGGGCGATGAAGCAAAGGAMGGGAGGAGGCAGGAAGACAGACAGGGACAAAAAAAACTGTAGGTCAGCAACAGGAAGTGTGYAACATTTAAACAGCTCCTCACAACAGCTAACAGCTGAATGTGTTAAAACTTTAATCAACATMATYAATTAAGCAAGAAAATACCATTAAGGGCAAACTGTAGACATTCTTCTCTGCTCATGTTGGGTTTGTATTTGGCATCAACGTAGCCGTAGATGTAAGTGCTTCCTGAGCCACCGATGGTCACAGGCTGACGGACTAACATCCCACCCAGAGACACAACGTACACCTGGGGAAGCGAGGAGGACATCATTACATGCAGCAGAGGCCGAACGTGCTCAGCACTGTCAGCACCTCAACCTCCACCAACCTGTGGTCCGTCCTTCTTGTCCCAGCCTGCTGTGATGAAGCCGGCCTGCAGCTCCTCTTTGTTTTCGTAGCACAGTCCCTTCAGCACCGACGCTGCTGCTATCACCAGTGGAGGCGTCTCCATCTGGACGCTGTTGATGAGGATCAGCAAAGGTCGGGGGAAGTGAATTKGAAAGAAGACGTGTGATTCCTTTTCAGWTTTTCTTCCCTCTCGTGTTTTCTACATATTTGTTGGAATGTAAATGTGAATGTAGAAGTTAAAAAGCCCAAAGTCTGTGGGAGACAGACGGTGAGGGACTGGTTTTTGGGGCCTTCTGGTTTTTGTTTATAGTTTTGACCAATCACGTTTGAGCAGGTTTGGTTGCTCACAGGTAAACAGTCCGTGTGCAGAGCAAAAGAGGCAGAACATGTTGAACATGATGCATCAGCTCTCAGCGTTTTGATGGATCTGGATTCACGTGCAGATAGCTGYTAATAGAGTTCTGGACCTAAAACAAGCGTCACTGTTTAAGTTCTCTGTGGACAAACGTTGGACTGGCGTGGACTCTGACTGTTGACAGTGTACAGCAGACAGAAGACAGAGCCTCRGTCTTGTTGTACATACTTTGTGTGTATGCACACATGTACRTGTATCATTTCGGTCATAATGTGTGTAATATGTGTACATGTATTTGTACAGTATGTGTGCGGGGTACCTGTGGAAGGACAGGTGGAATTTGGCCGCCTTGGTGACGGCCTGAGCGTCTGCGAGCGAGCCGGACATGCAGCAGAAGATCTGGTCATGAACCTGAATCACCTTGTTGATGGTCTTAGATGAGACATATTCCCTGAAGACGAGAGAATGAACACAGTCAAAACACAGAGCGACACCACCACCTGCAGCAGGACGTCATCACAGACTGTGAAATGAAGATGGACGACGTGACAGCTCCCCAAAATGAAGCCAAAGAGTCTCGATCGCCACCTGGTGACTGGCAGCAGTAYAGCTCATAAATCTGGCCTCCTCCATGTTTGTGAATGGGACATGGGTCAAAGTAAACAATCAAAAGTAGAATAAATGGTTGCTGTCATTTTATCTAGTTCTTATCAMACAGACGTTCAAGTGTCCATGTTCCTAATAAGTTTGGTTTTTAATGAGGCAAAGTTTTATTCATGAAGCTCAATAAAAATCAGAAAGCAGAGTTTAAAACAACTTTCCAGCAAAACAAAAGGCATCAACAGGAGCAGAATAAAACTGGTAARAGAAATAAAAAGGACAAAATCTACATAAAGTGAGTAAAATAAATAATACAAATAAAACAGATCGAGATAACGAAAAGAATCTAATGAAAATAAAATACAATGATGGTATGACCTGTGGTTTATTTACAGTCTATATATTATTTCTATGTTTTCAATGTGCTCGGGTGCATGTTTACTTCTCTGTAACTTTAAATATACTGATGTTTCTCATCTCATCTTTTCTCACCCTCCCATTGAAGCCCTGGAGTCTGAACCAATCACGACCCCTCCRTTGAAAACAGCAGCCAGGATGGTGGTCTGAGGGCGGAGAGAGAGAGAGTCTGTGAGTTGTGGTTCTCCAGCATTGATGATGGATAGAAGAAGACAAACATGACAGAAGACAAATACAACAGTGGACAACACAAACACAGCATCACATGGCGTCACTCAAGGCTATGAATTCTGGGAYTTGGAGTTCTGTGAGGGGGGTGATTTTTTTTCCTCACTGAAAATGAAAGTGTAGTTTTCTTCGTAGAAACTTAAAGAATAAACTCTTTCAGATATTAAAGGTGAACATTCACTCATACARCAACATCTGGAACATGAACTTGTTCTCTCGCTTTGTCTCTAATCAGGTGAAGCTTCACCTGTTCGCAGCGGATGTCGGTTCTTGATTATTTTACTCTTGAAAGGTTTTTCTTCGTGTTTCACGAGAAGAGAGAGAAACAGAGATGACAGCGGATTCACTCACCCCTGTGCTGACTCCTTTGACTCGTGAGTCCGTGCAGCGTTTCTCCATTTTCTCTCCAAAATCGAAAGAGAGGACGGAGAGGTGACGCACGAGTCAGAACAGCGACCTCTGGCGCACCGTGACGCACCGTGACGCAGAGAGACGAGCACAGGAGCCGCAGTCACATCCACGATGGCGCTATCAAATGTCCTGGAAACTCCTGCAGCCGGGTTTAATTTCGACAACAACTTGAGGTATGAGCTCGTTTTAATGATTCCGAGCCACGGACTGAATCTGTGATGAGCACAATCACATGTGAACTCCGGTTTTACTGAGACTTCATCAGGGGCAAAAGTGAAAGTAACTTTGTTGAGTGCGTTCCTCTGATCCCTGTAAGGACACAYTGATAATGTGTTGATTATAAATATAATATATATTCACAGATCACCCCTGCGCTGTCTCTCTCTGTAGAAATGCTGCACTCGAGGGTCTTTTTGCAGGACAGTCACCGAAACCTCTGAAAACAGGCACCACCATCGCAGGAGTGGTGTTCAAGGCAAGTTCACATCTGAGTATATGATATTAATATAAACAGACAAAATGTKTTGTTGATTCTTTTTGAAGATCTTGGACTTTTGTGCAGCACCCTGAGACAACTGTTTGCTGTGATACCCTGCTATATAAATACATTTGATTGATTGATTCTTCAAGTAAATTTGAGTCTGCACATATTTTCTCTTCAGCGAGTCAGTGTCGTGCATCAGTTCCAGATGAATAAAGATAGAAACTTTCAGAAAGATGAAACATGACCGTACTGTTATTGTTGTGAGAACAGACGCTGCATTCAAGTTCTCCACAGACACGAAATGACACGATTAGAAAATCAAACACTAACCCGACATGGACATTACCAAAAAA